CGATAATACTCGATCGTGCATCTCGAGCGAGACGAAGCGAGCGTTTCTCTGATCGAACGACGTCTCGCACTTACCCATACAACGAGCACACCAAACAAATAAAAACTTTCTCTTCGCGCGAGCTTTGTTCGGAAACTCACGTGTCCGAACTTCAAGTAGAACTGAGAGGTGGGATGCGAGCGTAAGGTTATATACGTTCAGTTTGCCCCTTCCCGCTCTACCGCCTAACCGTTCTTTCGGTCGTCATCCCTCCCTCGCCCCGCGTGTCATACTTCATACTTATACGCGTTTCTCCACGTGATCGCGATATACCATCATTCTTGACCGAAGTTCTCTCTAATGCAGCGGCAACGCGAGGATGTAATTATCTCGCGCCCGATAACGTGTCCAAGGCCTTCCATTTCTCTTTTTCTCGTTTCCTTTTTTCTGTATTTCTCGTATTATTTTGTCATTTCGTTTTTATTCATAAAATCATTCACGGAATAGGTACTATATCGAAAATTTTCCAAGAAGTAGGATTAAGTTTAGGGATACATTCCGTTTCACACATAACGTAATGCATCATTTATTCTTGTTTAACATTCGGTGAACAATAAGGATAAATGATGTATTATACGGAACTATCCTGAAAGCGAGAGAAAGTAAAAAGAAAAGGAAGCCAATTTTCCAATTAAATATCTATCAGTTGAAACGCTAGCGGTGATTATAATTTTATTTGAATTTGAATTTATCTTTGGATTAAAAAATAATTGTATTAAATCTAGTATTACTTTTCTATTAATTAGGTTTATAAATTACATAGATAACGACAGATCTTGATGAAGTTGTGACACAAACAAGATTAGATTTTAAATAGCAAGCTTGTTTATCGCTTAATTATAATTTATACTTGTCTACTGCGTAGTAGAAACTCGAGTGGCCCATTTTTATTTTTCTTTTATTATTGAAATTTAAGATTAATTTATCGTATGACAAATTTTTCAAGCATGTTAATTGGCTGCAGGACAGAAAGATTTCCGCAGATCTCTTTAGATTTTCTCCTACTTTGAATCTTAGTTTTAGAACGTATGACTTAGAACGTTAGACTTTAAAGATGACGTATGTAGATTCTAAAGATTTATAACTTCTAATCTAATGAATTGAACTCCTACGTTCAGCCTGTAAATGGCAGTTATTGCCATTAAGATTTTCTATTTTTAGGTTCAAAAGAAAGATTTTCTAAATAGAAGCTGTAGATTAAGTAATATTAAAAGAAGCCGTATTTGATTGTACAAGTAAATGTCAAAATAGATTTATAAGGTTTAATTGAGATTGAAAGAGATTCAAACTAAAATTTCGTCTCGCTTTTAACCAATCAATATATAGAAAGTGACAATTAAATGTAATACCAGTTTAATAGCGAATTCAATTGGATGAAGTCACAATGCTGTACTGATGTATATACATATATATATATATATGTATTGGCTGCGTTTAGCAGAGAAAGCAGTTTTGCAACTGTTGTAAAATTCTTCGATATGATTAGTTTATATACGTTAGATCAGACCTGTTCCCTTTGAGCTCTGAAGCAAAACGTAAAATTATCGTTGCAAAAAATTCAATGTGGATAAGTTTTCAGGAACTGGAAAGTGTTGATAATTGTCACTATTACTGTGTATCAACATTTTATAGTCTCCGAAATCTTACTCACATTGAATTTTTTTGCATCGATGGCTTTGCGTTTTGGTTTCGGAGCTCAAATTGGACAAGCCTGATTTAGATCCATAAAGAACTAAAAAGAACTAAAAAGAACTAAAAAGAACCAATCGTATTGAAGAATTTTACAATTATAAAGCTGCTTTCTCTGCTGAATACAGCTATAAAATCATTATATACAAATAATTTATAAAGATGTGTTCAATATGAATATAAAAACGAGTTAAATTATAAAATCCTCAATATATTTTATTGTGTTAAGTAAAATGTGTATTTTATAATTTGAAATATTTGCATTTCACTTTTACACTTATTGTCAAACGAAATTAACGGCTTTAACATGCACCAGTGCATTAATGCATCTAATCGAATTCGCTAATTTCGTACAATACAAATCATCTCATAAATATTAGATTTATCCACCTTGCTTACACTTTTTGCATTCAGCATCTTCGCTTTCTCTTCCAGACTCTTTCTTCGAATATATATTTATTTTGTTTTAAAGCTGCACAAAGAAAAAGATTTCTTTGGATTTAGTATTTCTATTTATTTGACTAAAATTTATTTTATTGAAACAACATATTCTTGAAACAAAATATTATTTGTTTGAATAAAAATTTTGTTGTTTCATTTGAAAAACCTCTACTGCTTCACAGAAATAACATTATTATTTGAAGTAATATCTTTCAATTAAATAATATATTATTTGGTTACAATAAATACAAACAACGAAATAAATTATTTATTTGAAAATGGCAAAATATAATTGATAGAGATTCCAAATAATTGCTTTCTTAGAACAATCATTACATTTTTTGGCCGAAAAATATGAAAACAATTTATATAATTTAACAATAGGATTAAAGTAATGCTATGTGCTCAATTATGTTTGTGTCGTACAGTTTGATCACGCGAATACTGAAGAGATAGACATCTATTCAGTAAAATTCAGTAAAATTCATAAATAATGTATTTAAGACAAAGATATATATTGTTTCAATTGCACTTATTGATTAAAACATTGGTTTAGACCACTCCAAATAACAAATTTATTTGAATATAATAAAATTTATTAAATCTAAAGAAATCTTTTTCTCTGTGTAGGGTTTTATCTGAAAATGAATGTCAGATGAAAACCTAAGTATATAAATTTTGGGGTTTTTTTAAGCAACGCGAAGAAACCTATTGTAACAACATTATAATGTTCTAGCACTTACAGTAACGTTGCAGTAATGTTGTTTCTAGAACTATTTTTTATTTCTGTATTCTCTGAACTGGTGCACGTGGTGCAATAAGTTAAGTGAAACAAATAATGTATTTCACTTTAACTTATTTATGCACTGTGTGCATTAGTTCAGAGAGTGCAGGAATAAAAAACAGATCTGTATTGTTCTGTACTGTATAGGATTACGTTTGTCATATATTTTTCAAGTGTGTTAATTGACTGCAGACAGAAAGATTCTCAGATCTCTCTATCGTACACCTAGAGATGAAAATGATTGAAAAAAAAAAACCTAGAAACTTTGAATAAAAAATTTTTCAGATAACAAAGTTTAAATTACTTACAATATTATTTACAATATTGAGAAAAGCAGCTTCTGATTCTTTTCTGGATTATCTACTTTTATTGTCACTAACGATCAATGAGCAATTTGATGACAATATTCAGGCAACAGTTCCCTCTTACAAAAAGATGGCAATTTTTATGAACAATTAAAAGGAAACTTGTGTCAAGCAACTATTTTCTTTCTTGTAACGAGCTTGGCTATTTGGATAAAAAAATCTTAGTAAAAAATAATTTTTTTCTTAGCTCTTGAAAGTTTTTTATGTAAATGTAAAACTTTCAGGGATCATTGCACAATGTTCATGACTGATTGGTGAATGCACCAATTCTAATCGAATTCGCTATTAGATTTTTTTAAAATACTGTATAGCAAGATAATGGCAATGCATTCGTCACATATTGTATAATCGATCTCTGATCTTTTGACTTTATTGATAGGGCGAATGGATCAGCTGTTGCTTTCAAACTGTTGTATTCTGCTCAAATAACCGTCATAATAATACATGAGTTGTATTTACATACAATTAATATACATGTTTAAAAGAAGTCTTTCAGACATTATTATTTGGATTTTACAGATACGATATGCATAATTGGAATATAATAAAAATTATCGCACTTATCCTACAATGAGTTAAAAAAATTTTGTCGACTTCTGCTGACAAAATTTGTTTTCGATTGAGAAATTTGATTAAAAATACACAAACACATTCACATTCTTAATAAAACTTGAAAATTGTTTTCTTTGTCGTCCACAGACAAAAAAACAGTTGTTGCTCTTTCAGCTTCCATTTGATATTCTAAGAAAATTATCGAGCTTTCCATTTAGCTGAAATTTTTTTTTTAATGACTTAATCGTGATTTAAACTTATTCTACAATATGTTCTTTGCTTCCTGTTTCTTATTTTTTATCTTTTGCTTTTTTTCTTCTTTGCAATCGTTTTA